GAGGTTGCCATGGAAAAGCAGCTGAGTCTGAACCATATGTCACCAAGTGAAATACACGGTGCCAGACACCGTGGTGTGCAGCAAATCACTCAAAGACTTTCCAGCAGTGGAGACTTGTTCTCTGTTGCAAATAATCATGTTTCTTTGTTCAGCAATCCAATTAACAAATCTGATTGACAGGCAAAAGGTATTGGCCTGATTGCAAAGTAGATTGTGGGGTGTGACATACATTTTGGACAACTTTGTCCTCCCAACTTTGTTTGAGCGGTTTGGCCCCTTCTTGTTCCATCATGACAGTGAACAAAGTAAATGCCATAGAAAGTTTGGTGTCGAAAACCTTAGCTGGCCTGAGGTTGGATGAACTGAAACGGTATTCTCGTGAATTGGCCAAAACTGTCTTTAAACACACTCCAAAAACATAGTTGAACACTATAACAGAAAAATTAAAGCTGTTATTGGTGCATATGGTGGGTGAGAATCCAATTAATTTCATAATAAAGACGTAACTAAAGTTCATACTATATTTTAGAAAGGCAGATGAATCAATCCTGTTGGCAATATTCATTTTGTATTTTAAGAATTTTATGTAATGGACCAAAGCAAGTGAAGTTAAAGGAACATAACATATGGTCTTCTCAATGTTTTCATTTAAGCAAATCTTAGAAGTATGTGTCAAATTAAATTGGACAGATGGCTTCTGTGAACAGTGACTAGTAAATGTTGGCACATTCTCTCAATTGGACTTTAACTGATTGGGTCATTCTAGCACATGGATATGATTGGATCTTAACTATGGCTGTATGTTTAGGATTGTTGTTCAATCCATCTTTCCGACAAGCAAAACAACAATATCCACATCATGATGCTACCACTACCATGTTTCACTGTGTAGATGATGACTTCAGAGTGATTTGCCATGTTAGGTTTCTGCCTCACAAAGAGAATAATTGATATTTTCTAGGCCAAGACATAACTTGACTGGGAAAGACATTACTTGGATTAAAACATTTGTCAACAGTATGTAAAGATTTGTACTTGGCTAATGAATTTACATATTTTGCAGCTACAAAAACATACTGCATTTGTTTCTTTTTATGTGTGTGTGTGTGTGTGTGTGTGCGCGCGCATAAGCAATGTATGCAACAGTGTGTTGTAAAACCTCTTCTCAGGGAATAATAAAAATATTCTGTTGAAAATAACTTCAGGAATAGGTTCCCTAAGACTGTAAAAAGGAAGCATATGCATCAAGGCACTAATATTAAAACAAAAACAAGGCACAAGTAGTGGCCCAAGACATGACTTCTGAACTCACACAGCTATAAAAAAAAAAAAAAAAAAATCTGTGACCTGCTTTTCATAAACTAAACCATGTTTGATAAATTAAATTTGGCTATAAATGAAACCACTGGGTGGCACTGGTCTTCCAATCAAGAACTTGTACCGCTTTAAGAGGCAGAAAGCATAACCACCTCCCTGCAATTTACATGTACATGTCTAATATCATAGGAAAGTCTTTTTCCACTCTGCAGTAAGCAGAAGAGGAGCATTTTCCACCCACATAGCTGGAACACGAATGCACCCAATATGAATTTCATATTAAACAAAATATCTTTAACAACACAAGGAAATATTAGGAGGTTTTAACATTACTCATTTGAATCCCCCATGAAGTACAACATGTTAGATAGAATAGATTATTTTTTTTTAAAGTGCATCTAATTCAGTACTGGAACCACAGACTTAACGTGGAACCCTGTGAATTAATTAGGCAAAAGTGGTAAAAGATCCCATTCATAATTCAGATATTCATTTTCATGATAATGCCCGTGCCCTTGACTCAGACAGGATCTAGACCTGAGTCATAGCGCCCTGATTGGTTTGATATTCTGTGTAACAAGACACAAGCATGGCACAATGACAGAAATAGAAAACGGAGTGAAACATTCCCTTTGCCTTCCCTGATCTAAATAAGCCCCTCTTGTCCACTGAAGGCACAAATGAAAGTAACAGGAGCATTTTGGAAAAAGTTTCCTCCTGTGTCAGGCTTTATATTTGTCAAAACCTTTCCTCAGGTTCACCGCTTATGACTCATATTTGTCTTTCATTTCCTCCTTGATGGAGTCGCTCTTTCTCTGGATTACAAAGAAAAGTATTTGAGACAGTCACAGCTTGGCAATCTTACAAGTACAAGTCAGCTAAAAATGAATCTTCGCTGCGACTTAAAGATGTAACGTGCATGCATAAATCTTTTCGGGCTATGTTATGCTGAATGTAAATGGTTGGATGGACACAAAATATTTTAAACCAACTGGGTAGTGCTGATGAGTTAGTTGAAAAGGAAAATGTTTACCCAAGTCATGGCTGAAAAATGACTGAAGAAAATCATTTAAAGAAAGAATTCCAATTTAGTTTAGAACAAATAAAACCCCAACCTAAAAACCAGGAGACCTGCAGGGGTCATAAAACCTAGCTTGCTGGGTCAGAGACTAGAGGCGATGTGACAATGGCTTTTATGTTTTAGATATATTCACCTTTAGAAACATTAATCTTTTACCTGCTAAGTGTTTAGCTTGCTAGCAATACCAAGTAAATGGTTCGTTGATTTTAGACAAAATATTACTTGTTTAGTAATCCAGGTTGTGGGTTATGATTTTTAATCCAGGCTTTGGTCGCCTTAATGTAATACATTAAGGCATATGAAGTTAACTTCGTTTAATGTACGTCTACAATACCTCTGTGTTTCTCAATATTTTGTTATCCGTGTAGGTTTGAATTCTCAGCCATCTGTCAATCAGCTTGACACGCAATGTAGAACAAAAGGCGGAGTGGGTCATAGATAAAACAATGACACAAAAGAAATGCGGTGCCTCAAGGTTGAGGAATTCATAAAGAAGTGCTTAAGGCGGGCGCATTAAAGGCTTCAAAATCCCATACTTTCAAGTTCTACTTCCTCTTTAGCACGGGTGATTGTAAAGATCCTCTCAACTGTGTTAGTGATGACATGATGGGTGAGACAGACTGCAAAGATGAGGGCAACTTGCATCAAACAGAGCAGCCAGAACAACCCCCAAAGACTGGGCACCGCTCCAGTCGCACGTCAAGGTTGATGATGATGACAGGGCTTATTTGGCTTGCTTGGTTTGCAGTATGACTCAAGGTAGCAAAAAAAAAAAAAGCACACAAAAAACTGAGACATTAAAAAAGATGGCCTCTTGTGTTGGATTGTCAAACAGGAAAATGACATTTTGTAGGTGATTTCGGATATTAAAAAAATGCAACTTTAATTTGAGCACTTAAAAATGTTATACATTTTTGAATGATAGTGCTTGTTAATGACAAACTGTAATATTTAGGTTATTCGTGTGCTTTTTAAAAGTACGTCTCAACAAAAACAAATCATTCTTTTCAGTGTGTAACTGTTTTCTATTGTTGTCTTTTTGTGATTTTAATTGTGCCTTTTTTGTTTTTAAGCATGAAGCTAAATTATTATAAATGTGAATACAATCACTATTCTTCAGCTTAATGTAGGAAAGAAAATCTCTGAGATCCACAGTGAAAATACAGTTTCATCTATTAGGGCGTCCTTCAGAAGTTATATATTTTCTACTGAAGAATCTACTTGTTGTTCACCAGCTGGTCCAGCTGGTACAACTCCTACCAATAGTCAATCTACCTTCATTAGGGAAATGTGTGTTCAGCCAGCTGTTACCACTTTGTAAATATTGTTTCTTCAGTGCTTAAAAATCATTTGTTCAGTAGTTTCGAACCAAAACTGAGCTTTAAGTTGATTGCTAACAGTTTGTGACTTATTTGTATTATTGTGTATTGGTACAGTGAAATCATACCGTTCAATCAACGGATGTACCCATCTCTTAACTAAAACCAAGTACTGCTGAAAATACTTGTCACTTTCTTCATTACTGTTAGAAATTTTACTTTTTAGCAGAACTTGAGAAATTTTCCAATCAAGTAGTTTTGTTTTGAGCTATGTGAAGTGTACTTTAGAAAGCAATGGAATAAAAAATACAAATTTTGAAAATCTTGTCACAACATATTTGGTAATATAGAGTCTTGCCTCTAAGGTAATAAGATAATGATATAATGTTAGATTGACTTTTATCTTGTTTGAATATTTTTTTTTCATCTATTAATTTTTAAACAATGCTGTATTCCTTTCTCAGTCTCATTTAGCTGTCAATGACATGCTTTTAAAAATTTATCAATGCACAAGAGCATTGCAGATGATAAATGTATTTTGTACTTCTTGGCTTGCATGCATTAATGCATGAACTCTCCAACTAAAATAAAGAAAGCTACATACTGCCATTTTACAGATAAGGGTTTTACGCTCCAACGAATGTGATTAGGAAAATTAAGTTAGTTTTTTTTTCTTTGTTCAAGTCAATGAACAAACATTACAACTTAAAATAAAGTAAAACGGAAATGACATAGCTCTTGAAGACCTACATGTGAGCTGGTGAAAGTAGGGTGAATCCAGACACAATATATGTTTTGGGGCCTTTATTCCCAGACAACTCCACCAGTGTGAAAAAGTATATACAATTTGGAGTGCATAGGTCAACTTATTAAACCAAACAGCGGCAGTGGTCTCTATCTGCAATAACATGAACATAATGAACCAAAAAACTCCACATAGTTCAACCTACAGTGAGACATTCAATTCCTGAGACAGAATTATGTTTCAATATAGGACGTTTAACTGAAATCCTAAAAGGGGTGCGGGTTTTAATGTTTTTATCATTTTTAATCTTTTTCAAAATCTCTTTCTCACTGTTTATTCAATGTCACATGCCGTTTTTATTTTAATTATGTAAAGCACTTTGAAATGCCTTGCTGCTGAAATGTGCTATACAAATAAAATTTGATTGATTGATTGATTGATAGTGGAAATACTCACAAAAACAGCCTTAGTTAATTCAGATATGACAGGTAAAACCAACTGCCCACTGATTTAAAGATAATGCTAGTTAGATATTTACCGTCTGTAAGCTTGAATCTCCCTCCAACCGAGAGCTGATGAGATTCGTCGTTCAAAGTAGCGTTGTTCCGGTTACATTTAACTTCCTGCGGACTTCTAGGATCACCAGGGGAAAACAGCGCACTCTAGTGGTGATAAATTGTAAGGACCTTAATTCCCAGTCGGCTACGTTTGCATCAGCCACTTGTCACAGTATTTATTTTACCCCAGGATATTCTTATCTTTGTAGATTTTAGCTGTAGGATTTAGGCAACTAATAACTGTTGAATAACTACGGTATGTAAATACCAAAGTGCAGACATAAAATGGATTATCAATTTTTTAAAAATGTTATTTATTTTGACATTTTTGGAGGATCAGTGGTACCACAAGGAACTGATCCTCTAGGGCTCTCTGTCACTATCCACTTCAATCTCAATGTTTTTCTTTAAATGGAGAGCATTTTAACCTTTGAACCAATGTTTTGGCATTTTGTATCCCAACAACAGAAAAATAAATAAATAAATAAATAAATAGCTGAAAAAATGATTTTGTCACTTTTTTTGACAGCTTGACAAGAAATAAGGCAAGAGCATAGGAAAGACATTCAGTAAGTTGCCTTTGTCAGGAGTCAAACCAAGGACAACTGTTTTCGAAGCGTTTTCTAACGTTCATGTCATAATTGATACGACTTTTATGTCATTGATATGAGACATGCGTCATTAATTCTGCACCAGAAGAATGAAAGAAGTATGTTGCTGAAGTGCATCACATCTCAACCCTACCACTCTGGCTCTCACCAAATAGACTTCTCTACAGAAAAGGATCTGAAGGTGTGAATAGGAAGGAAATAGATATAGTTTGAACATCTAACATTTGTTCAGGATGACTCTTGGTTGCCTGACGTTTGAAGTTTTTCTGGGCTTGCCCCACTGACAACTGACCAAAGAGCAAAAGCAAAAGCAATTATGTATCCTGTCTGGACTGGGAACACATTGGGATGCTGCAGAAGGAGCTGGCGAGTCTAGCTAGGAAGAAGGATGCATGCATTTCCCTCTGCTACATCTACATCCCAACCTGGTATAGGAAGAAAGCAATAGAAGGGCAATTAAAGCTTCCATATATGCAAACTTTAATTTAAATTAATTGTCACAGGTTAGGATCTTGCACAACCCTGGCTCCATCAAACTGTGAACAAGACGGAGCTGAATTAGAAGCCTATATTGCTTCCCTTTTGCTACGATGACCTAAGTTCGCTGTTTGAGTGTTACATAAAATAAGTTTTAATCTGACATGGCTGCCATAAATATGTGTTTTGATTTTCTTTTTTATTTATTTGTATTTACAGTGGGACACACTGATCAGCAGATAAGCATCAATTTTACAGAAGTATGCAGAAATTATGACCTAAAACTACATGTCAAGTCATTATTCACAAAAGTGAAGCTGTGCAAACAAAGACATACAAGACTGAGAAAATACTCCTAAAAAAATACCAGACTATATTGTGCAAAATATTTGATTCAACAAGTCAGTACATAAATATCTGAACATTATTTGCATGAGATTTGTGATAAATACTAATATCTTATGACATGCATTGTAACAATTGTAATTATATTCATGCAGTATGAAAAATGGAAGCAGCAGAAACTGATTTGCATGCAGTACCAATAAGAGCAATCATTCAGACTGAATAGAACTTCAAGAAGAGCATACCAAGGTTAGGATTTTCATCACTCAAAGTTTTTTTTGTTGAAAACTACGCTAAAGTTTTCCTTAGTAATAACAAGCTGAAGGTTCCATTCCAAAATACTAATTTTATTTGTGCGTCTAGGTTTATTATGGTAATACTGTACATAAATACTGAGTCACAGGATTTCATTATCATGCAGACTGACCTGGCCAAGGAGACACTTTCGTTGTTGTCCCTGGGCTAACCATAATGTGTTATTAGTATTCAGATAATGTCTGTGCATGTAAATTGTTCATGGAAAGACCAAGGGCACAGGTTTGGTTTGAACAATGGTAGGAACACAACAACCCACCCCTCCCACTTCATTTACTTTTCATCTTTTAATGGCGTAATCTAAATCAATATATAAAAGATGCACTCATATTTATCACATGTAAAAGTAAGTAGACCGTTAATTTCAAACTTTTACTTGAGTATGTGGACATGTTTTATCTCAGATTCATTTTTATATGCCAAAAAGGCTTTGCTTATTTTTTGATTGTGCCAATCGGTTGGTTGATTAAAAAAAAAAAAAAGTAAACAATAGGTATTCTATCATAAATACACAGATGTTTTATGCAAACCTGTGAGTTCAGTGTTATTTGTGAATTGATTTAGCCACAAATCATAATAGGGCCAGACTGCAAAACAAACTCAGGTCTGCCCAGGGCAGCTACCATCTCTTCAGATCTCAACAAAATCTGACAACAAACTGTTTAGACTTTTATCAAAGCACTATTTGCAAAAACCAGCCAGCGCAGAGACACTGTTTTTTTTTAACAGCTCCTTATAATTCAGAATCGTAAATACAAGGTAGTATGGAACTAGCATCTTCTGTCCACAGGGTTTTTTAAAAATGCAAACAACATCATGGCTCACTGCCTGCCACCTTTTCAACTGCCATACCAGGAGAGGTGCAGCCATATGTGGACAGTTTTGAGAAGAGGGTGTAAGTTGTTGGGAGTGTCTGGAGTCTGGGGAATGTAGGATGTCCCTGAAACCTATTAATAATGTCCCAACAAATCGCCTTGGGGACATATCACATGCTCTGTTAGTCTTCTCCACAGAGGATCCTCGGAGTGGCTCTTCAGAGTCGAGCATTCATTGAAAAAACACAAAAACACAGCCCATAAAAAGGGCATCAAGGTCTTCAAGTGGAACATGATGACTGTGTCTGTGAGCAGTTAGCTCCAAGTGTGAAGTGATGTCCTTGTCAGGATATACAGTGAGACATTAACATTTAAACTCAAGAAAAGGACAAAAATAGAAAGTGAAAATCTCTATCAGTAAACAAGATAGAAAAGTCGTTTCCTTTTTTCAATAGAAGAAAATAGTCATACTTCTATTTATCTGTGAGTGGTAAAAAAAAATGCCATTTTCTTTTAGTAAGTAAAATGATCAATTTCTATATTGATATTATACATGCCTTCATATGGTAACATTTCAGAGATCTAACAGTAGTGGAATGCGAAAGGATCCGAATACTTCGATTAAATTAAAGTTTAGATATTGGCATGATATATCTCATATATTAAAACCCCTGTTTAAATATATTATATTTTAAACAGGGGTTTTATTTGCATAAAAGAGCTTTAGGTTTTACTTTTGCAGCTTTGTCATTTACAGCAGCATGGTATAAGAGATTTGTTGGGACATTGGTAATACACTTGCACACAAATTATGCAGTCACATTTGTTTATTTTATATTAAGCATAGTTTATTTACTCTTTATTAGGAGCATTTCAGTTATTAAGGAAAAATCATTCGAGCACGTATTAACATCTATTTGGTTGATCCTGAAGTGAAGTGGTTGTGGAGTGCACCACAAGGGGGCAGTATAGTATGAAACCAACAGGTACGGCAGGCGGAGGGAAAGTTTTTGTGATCAGTGTTGCAGCTTCCGCTTGGCTTACACTATGAAGGGAGGTTGCATAATCCAGAACACGCTGCTTCCCGTCTCATCATTTCGCTTGTTTAGTCAGGTAGTATTACAGAAAACGTATATACAAATTCACATATTGCAGCACTGTATATATTATTGCAGTGCTTTATAGCCAACTATGTGTGACCTTATTAAAATTAAACCTTGTTAACAGTGCGGCTAGACTGTGCTTGTTAGAAGAAGACAAAACAGCTTTGTAATGGCGACGCTCCACCCCCCTTTAACCGGATACCGGATGTGTAGAATCCCGGATGCTGAAATGAACTTCAGGTATCATAGTTTTTTTTTTGTTTGTTTGTTTTTTAATAGGAAACATAGGAAAACCGTTCTAGTTGCATTATTCGTTAAAATGTTTAAAATGTTTTTTTTTTTTTTTTTTAATTTCCTAAGCATTTTCAAAAGGAATTCGAAAAGGGACTTTCTTTGCAATAGAGCAATATCAATATTTTGTTGAGATTGTGCATGCATGTATGCGTGTGTATGACGGAGCTTGTGTTTTTGGTTCAACCAACTGGTTTCATGGAGACCAAGAACTAAAGTGCATGGTGGTTCTCATTGCTGTATGACTAAAATCACGTAGTTTTTATTTTTTTCCCTCAACCTCACCTATTATCCACCTTTTCTTGTCACTCAGGGTGTGTTTATTCAATTTCCATGAGTCACCATTCTGTGCAATGAAGAACAGATTGCTTTTATTTTTTTTTGTAAGATGATCTTGTGTGCCCTGAAAGGTGCCTTTTAAATTAAATGCATCGTTAATATTATCATTAATAGTGCTAGAAAGCAGAGTTTGTTACTACGGTCTTTTGGACATGTGTCGGGAGCCTTCTGGGTTTTTATACTAATTTGTGAATTTATTTATTGGCAGTGACAGGTCTGGGCAGCACCTGTGCTCCATTTTATGCAAATTGGGATGTATGAAGGAAAGTTGCACAGCCACATGCGTGCACACGGTTGCATACATCTAAATATTTTTGCGTGCTGCACTTTTTGATAATTGTCCTAACTCCAACTTCTAGTGTGAAAGCTGCATGCTCTTTAATGCATGAGGCTCCTAGTTCTTTCTACAACTAGAGCATCCCAAAGGGACAGAGAATACTGATTAGCAGGCAGGGAAGAGGAAGTACAGTCAATTGGAAATTTCACTTCAAAGTGCCAAGACCTGAAGGACAAGGTCCAGCAAACAGTTTTATTTTGACCACCAGTAAATCCATGTGAGGTCAGATGTAGAGCAGGCAGTGATACTTCAGACTGTCAGTGTTTCTTTTAATAGCATATTTCATCAATTAATTTCTTTTAGAGTAAGCAAGATATCCATCAAGTGAAATGCTCTTCACATTATCACATAGGCATTCTTTACCTGGAGTTTAATAATTCATTTTTTTTTTTTAATTATAGTTATTACTTGTCTGTAATTTTATTAGTGCTTGAGATTAACTTTAATTCCTCATTTAATCTCCATTCATCTTCATTATCACCATTTGACCACTAACATATTAGCATAATAAAGAGCTAATTATCAATGCCCCAAAATTAGTTTTATTAATCCTTCCATTGATATCCATTGTACATAGCCACTTATCCTTGCAGGGTCACGAGCGGACTGATGTCTATCTGCAGCGGCCGTTGACCTAGACCTGTCACGCATCAAGAAATGTCTTAATTTGTTCTTATGCTTAGGTAGTAGAAAAAAATATATGTTGTGGGAGAATTTATCCTTTCTCCCACAACAAAATTCTGCAGCACAAAAAAAAGAAATGTTAGTTTAATGACAGCATTAGAAGATGGTAGTACCACATCAAACAACTGTGTACCTGAATTGTATTTCAATTGTGTAAAAAGTCATAAAATCTGTAAGACGCATTATGGAAATGCTTTATACCCAAAGACCACAAACATTGACAGATAATTGTCTGGACCAAAGAGCAGATAGTTAGAGTGCCTAAAATGTCACTGCAGGAGATTTATCCATGGAGAATACACTTTGGAGCCAGCATTGTCAGCTGCGACTACAAACATCCACCCTTGTATCTTCACTGAGGAAACTGATGGACTAAATTACTTTCTGATTTATTTGGCTAATGATTGTCTAACCACTTTAAGAGCCCTAATAGAGAATGTAATCTAATTCCCAGATGCTAAATTGGTCTTAAAATGTGAAAAAAAAAAAAAAAAAAAAAATCATACAGTGCAATAATGAAATCATGGCATGGATTTTGCTTTGCTTCATTGTGTCATAGTACATGTTGGTACTAATGATTCTTTCAAATAACTAAAGCTCTCCACACCTGACAGCACTGATGTCAGGTGTCGGTGATCATGTATAGCCAAGGCCATCTTTATGTATAGCAGCAATTTGTTTTTCCAGCTCCTGAGAGAGTTCCTTGCCGTGACATGCCATGTTGAAGTTCCAGTGGCCAGTATTCGAGCGGCAACACCACATTTAACACACCTGCTCCCCATTCACACCTGAGACCCTGCAGCACTGAGTCATATGACACCAGGGAGGGAAAAATGACTTTTCCTGCTCAGTTCTGTTCCCAGTGGCTTAGACATTAATGTCTGTGTGTTGAGGTGTTTTGAGGTGTAAGCAAATTTATAATGTTAAATAAGCTGTACACTGACTACTTTACATTCAGTGTTCTCCCACGAAACAACATAACCTTTTTTTTTTTTTTTTGCGAAAAGGGTTTAAAAAAGAATCCTGGATCCAAATTCAATTGAAAGTGAAATATATACTCAATCTGAAGTTAACTGTGTAAATGCAATTTGAACTTCACATCACAGTTTTCTAGTGCAGACATTTTAATAGCACTTTTCTGAAAAAATACTCTATCCTTTACACAACAGAAGATTAAGATGGTAATTAATGTAAAATGAATAGATATGGGCAATCAATTTGCAAAGAAAGAAGCACCAAATTGGCAGCTGGCCTGACGAGCGTCTCTTAAGGGACCTAAAGACACATAACCTCACCTGATGCGACTGAGTCAAGGACACTTTCATTAGTATTCAGCTCCCCCTTCATCAATGTAGAGCTTGGTGATGAGTTTGACCCGGGGCTGGTAGATGGCAGAGATTTCCTTCATTTGTCAAGAAAAGGTGTCTCCTGTCTCTGGAGCTGGAGAGGAGAAATGCTGTATAGTTCTTTAATTATTAATACATCTAAGAGGAAAACTCTGTTTTCTGAGGTTCACCAAAATTAGCTCCACATTGAGTTTTAGTACGATCAGCATACTGCCTAGTGAATGCCTCCACTTCTTTTATCAGAATGTAAATAAAAGAAATAAGTCATATCTTTAAATAAGAGAAGAAGAACATTTAAGATAAGGAACCCCGTTAAGTTGTCGGAGGGTTTAAATAAGATTTATATTGCAGAACAATTTCAGTTTTGGGCACTCCAAACCTGCAAATCCTTGGCTAAGCAGCAGAACTGAGAGGCAGTGAGAAGAGCATCTATCAAACGAGGTCTATAGATCTATGTCTGTGTCTCATATATTTTTGGTTCAAAATATATGAAATTACGTAACTTCATGCTGCGCTAAAGTTACGTGTGTTGGAGAGAGTATCCAGGAACTTAGCAATAGTTCATAATAATATTACTCAAGTAAAAAGTACAGTGTAGTAAAACTTCTTGTAAAAGTGATTTATTTTATTTATTTATTTTTTTCCAAAATGCAATTCAGGTTAATGTAACCGAGTAAACTAGTTACTACCCACCTCTGCAAACCACTAACTGTACACATTACCCTGAAAACTACTGTATTTGACTTTTGGGAGTTGATCTCAAGATGCAGTGAGAATGAGGTGTGAGATAATGCTCAGATGCTCTTACAGAAATCTTTTTTAATTGATTTAATTGCATATTCGTTGTGCGTAAAGATTAGAATGTCTGTGCTTCTGTACCATCATCATCAGGAGTGTGAATTTTAATCGGTCAAAAATAATCTTTTCCCAGTCTTCTTCATCAGCAAAACGTTCCCGGAGCTTTAGCTGGTGTTTGACCTGCAGAATATATGAATACTTTATAAACAGTCAAATATTTCTGCTGATTGGACATTTATATTTGATGCGAGCGCTCGTAAGAGTCGAAGTGGCCTTGTAAAACTCTAAGCCCAGATTCCTGTCTCTGGCCATCTGGCCCACGAGTCTTGGCTGTCAGCTCAGCAGAAACCTGCGGATAACTAGGAGCAATCAGAGGGCATAGAGCCACGGACTGCCACCGTGGCTTACACCGTGCAAGGAACTTCAGCTACACAGGTGTACACACTAACAGGCAGCAGCTGGTGATCATGAAAATTGTTCACTGCTGTGATGGAGGGATGCTAATTGAGTAGATTTTCCCCCCCTTCTTGTGGTGCCATCACCAGTCATAATCTATTAGTGCGCATTATGTCAAGATTTTAAGGCATCGGAACACTTCGGTGCGAACACCGACACAGATGAATATAGAAAGGCAAAATGGAAGATACAAGATATCAAGTGACTGAGCTGAGAAACCATGGAACAAAATCATTATGAAATACTGCACGGCAGTGTAATCTGCTTCGTTTATTCTCAGTTGTTTAAGAGAGGTTGCTGCTTTATTTTGATTTTACTGAGGAGTAATTAAACAGGCAACTATACTTTGCTTTTGTCATGTTCCCTTTATTTTTTAATCAACAAACGATCTGCTGTCATTTTGGAACAATTTTGCTGACATTTGTAAATGAGTAGACAGCCAGCTGGTAAAGACAAAGACAATTAAAAGACAAATTAATTTACCTCTCAGTTTATCTAATTACTTCAGGAACATCATTTGTGAAAAACGGTGACATTTAACAATATGAAAAACAATTGTAAAGCCAACATTTTACCTCACCTCCAACAAGCCTGCTCTCCTCCTCATGTTTGGCTTAGGGTTAGATGAGGCACTCTAATAACCACCGTCATTACCCAAACTATTTTAGTTGGAAATTATCCAGTTTTGACCAATTTTCTTTTCAATAATAATATAACAAAAATAAGAAAATAAAACATTTGCAGTCAAACTTGGCTGTTTGTTTAGTCCATTCATCATAATTAAAATCTGTTCAACTAAACGTATTAAGACGCACACAATATATCTATGAACTGTTTAAATATTTAAGGTCTAACAATGACGGAAAATCAAAAACTGATTTGCCAAATATTGCTGATTATTAGTTTCAACAGTGAAACATGTCCTTGTTTTGTGATTTTCCTCTATCTGATACATTAGCTTTATTTAATTTGGTGTTTTAGCATGACAA